TTGGAGAGTTACTTTTTGTTTTTACAAATAGAAAATCGTGCATCTTAGGGTTCCCATGGACTTGAAACTGTTGTTGGAGGAAATGTCATACAAAGGACGGGATTATTAGCCAGTTAGTTTGCTTACTTCATTCAGTTGTGATCCATTCTGCTCATAAAGAATAAACATCTGAGAGTCTGCTTGGATCAATTTTCTCAAAATAAAGCCAGGCAGCCCATTAAAAATCTTATAGTTACTCAACCCCTTATGTTCTGAGTGATTGTTTTACACATCCTCAGAGATAATTTCATTACCTCGTATGCTTCATTACACCATGTCCTTAGATTTGTACAATCTCAACTAACTTGTACCATTTGATTTGTTGTCTAATATTAGCAGTGTTTAGGATTGATTTGAATTGTGCTCCATAAATTGTTTCTGTCCTTGGGTGTCACTTTGTTTGCATTTCTTAGATAGATAGGACACAAGCAAGCCTGATAACTACTTCAGGAGTATATTTCCTTCTCAATTTTTTTGATAATGGAGTCGCATTTTAGAATCCTGCACGGGTCCAGTAAGAGGGATTTATTGAAACAAGATGTGTTGCAGGAGCAAACAATTTTAGGGAGGATTTTCCTTTTAGCAAAAATTTTAGCATCTCTTCTTACACGTTCTTCCATGGTGCTCGGTGTTGAAACCAGGCAGATGATGAGTGCTGTGAGAGAAGCTCCAAATTCTTGGAATAAAACCAGGGCAGTGACGGTGATTATTGTAAAAACAAAAATTACAACGAAAGAAATAGATGCTCTTGTTTGAACTGTCAGACTCATTTCCATTTAGAGTAACTAATTTGCTCGAAGTTAAAAATACTACTTCAAGACCGTTGGACACCCTCCAACAAGGGGTTGTTCAATATTTTTTGGCTATCGGTTGTCCAATTTATTTGTAATTTTTCTTTTAAACATAAATTTAAAGATTTTTTTTTCCTAATTTTGTCTCTGAAAATTTTTTTCATTCTTAACAAGAATAAAAAATAGAGGTTAAATTTTTTTACTAAAAGGTAAATATATGAAATTTCAATAAGTAATAATTATATTTTTTAAAATTTTGATAATTTTTTTTTAAACCCTATCATATAAAGTATGAGGTTGTAATAAAATGTTCTTTTCATAGATATTTTCTGGGGTTTTTTTTAAACCCTTACTTTTGTTTAATTATAAATGTACTGTTAATCTTGTTGTGTGCTGCATTTTGGCCGCCAGCTGTTGACCAGAAAGACCTTCTACTTTGATATGATCGTGTTAATAAACAGTTTAATTAATTAAGTGAATCAAGCGTCGCCGGAAAGGTTGAAATTCCTGCATAGCAGATAGGGAAAACATTTTGCATCCCCTTTCCTCTCTAGATGTACAAGCAGCATTTTTTTTAATTTGTAGCTATTAATTTAGCAGAATTGTTTTGGTTCTTTTTTGTTCTATTAATCTGTTTCTTATGGGAGATAATGTGTGCGCTGTGACAAAATGAATCAAGCTATGCATATTTGCATTATTGTCAATGGAGAAAAGACGAATAATATCCAGACAATTGAGAGTGAAATCAGGGATTCTATTGTATTATAGATCCCCCTTAACAATTTTGTCAGTGTGTTATTCTGGAACAATAACTGCTTTATGGGTCTAGTTAGTATATCATATGTATATTGAATCAAATGAATATATAGCTATAAGCTATTTAGTGTATACTTTAGGCCATAATGTACTAATTATAGATGTAATCTATCTATGCAACTATGGTGCCAAATGTGTAATCATTTGGGAGACTTGGTACTGTGACATGTTTGGTAATGCATGTCCGACCTCTAGATGGAGAAGCATCAAATAACTTTTTCGTATAGGTTCAGTTTCTAAATTTAACTTTACATCCAAGTCTGTTGAATGTTCTGAATTTTTGTACCAGATACACTTTTTATGTGTAATTTTGTCTATAAAACTGATTCCTAGCTTTTGGGCCAAAAAAACAGAAAAAAAAAAAAAAAGAAAACCCTGATTCTAAGCTCTATGTTCAATTATGGTTGTGTCCACAGAGAAAATGAATTTGCAACAAGTATCACTACCCGTCTTATGCTAATGGACTTGGCCGTCAAAGAGGAGGTGATAGAGATTTAGAGACTAGGCTGGAAAATAAGTAGCAGTCTGGAAAATCCAACCCTGGAAAAATACCTGCATTGTCTGAAACCTATTTCTTTGTCATTTTCTTTGCTATTTTCCATCTGATATTTACTTGGTATTGGTGTACCAGCTGGTGGCAAGGTTGGATGTCCTTCCCATGATTGTTTAGTATATTTAGCGACATGTCTTTTTGGTCATCCTGTGGAGTTCTGTGTGAAAAATGGATTAATATTCACTGGAATATTTCATGCAACAGATACAGAAAGAGATTTTGGTATTATATGTTTATTTTGCTTCTTGACTGTACTTATGCTTTGTATTTTTTTTTTCTTCTGAGTTTTTGGTTTTCATATAATTCTTTTCTAAAGAGCTATTAATATGTATTAGTTGAATTTCCTTCTTTAACAATGGAACGCTTTGTCACTTTCAGGAATCATAATGATAATGGCTTGCTTGATAAAAGATGGTACTTTGCAAGGAGAGAAGGCTATTGCAGAGTTTGTTAGCAAGGCTCCATCAAAGACATTAATTATAACTGCCAAAGAACTCGTGCAAGTTATAGCAAAGGTTTTGCTGAATTTCTGTTTTTGTTCTGGTTTGTTACTGAATGAAGTAAATTTTAAGCTCTCCATTTATTCATGATCTTAGTGTAGCGTATTTCAGCTGGTTAATAAGGAATCATTATACTGGAATAAAGAAGTGATGTGAGCTAGGAGGAGAGATAAAAGGAGAAGGGGAAAGAGAGGAAAATAGAGATATATGACGAGGAGGAGAATTCTTAATACTTGTTTCTCTGTTGTCTTAACTCATAAGACTCAAATAGAGCATAACATTTGCCTTATTGACACAGTGGTGTGTTTGTCTGACCATTTAATTATATTTGAAATAGAAAACTACCAAAATAGTAAATAATCTAAATAATTTAATTAGCCATAGATCCAAAAATTACATCAAAATTACTAATTATGCAAGATAATATAAATTATTTTCTCCAAGGCTTCTTTGCCATGAGTGTGTCCTGTCAATTATTCAAATTAAATATTCAGTTAGTTGATCAACAATTCCAGGATGTTGCTGGTGCGAAGGATGGCCTTGCAAGGGAGCTCCGACATGAAAAGCAGCAAGCAATTATGACAGACTCTGCAATATCACAATCTCATGATGTTAAGATGGGGAGAGTTGAAACCCTGGGTTCCTGATGCAGATGATCCACAGCATCCAGAGCAAGAAAACATATTTGATGGCCATTGGAATAGCTTGTTATTTTATAATCCTTTAATATTTTCTTGCAAATTCTCTGTTTGTGATTTTATTGTTCCATTATCTTCTTTACTTTATAGGCTTGCATCTTAATTGTTTAATGGAGAGCAACATTTTAATTTGGATATTAAATTGTGTCCTAGTTTTAACCGTCTTTCCTTTTGCTTTCTTATTTATGGATTCCAGAAAAAAGAAAAAAAAAAAGGGGATTTTCCATGAGGAGCAATTTAATGGGACATGACTGTTGATATTATTTTGTGGTGGCCTTTATTGAAAGTTTGATGTCCCTTGTGATGTTGTTGGGTTAATCAAATTTGGGGATTTGAATTTAAGGTTTGCCTGCGGTGCTTATTTGAAGGAGTTCTTGGAGTATAATTATTTAATTCAACATATATATTGTTTTTGTTTAGCTAAATGCAGTAACTGTTTCATTGAGTGTCATTCCTGGGTGGTGAGCTGAAATTCCTACTCTTTCATGTTGAAGTATGTACTATGTAGTTTGCCATTGTTTCTTTTCTGACCAATCAAAACCAGCTGAGCTAAGTTTTGCGGTGGGGGGTTGGGCCTTGAATTGGGTGCTGCTGTTAGGCGGCAAGGTTTATGGTCTTAGAGTTAAATGTTGATAGCTGGCTTTGTTGGCAATCCCATGAGTTGCATTACAAGCAATTTTTTGGGTGAATTTTAGTTTTTGCTTTCTCTAATTTTGCTTTATGGGCATTGAGTTTTTTTCCAAAGTTCTTGTTGTATACATATTATATCAGTTTGAATCATGTCATTTTGCTGTTATGAACTGGAATCAGTTTGAGAGAAATGAACTTCTTCTTGAGTAAAAGGTACCTTCAATGAAGAACTACCGTACACAATGAAGCTTGAAAAAGGTGCTCAGATGAGAGAGTTGGAAAAGGAAGCAATGAGAATTGCCAGAGAGAGCAATGAGAATTGCCAGAGAGATTGCGGGTGAAGATACCCAGGGCCTGCATTTAGCAGAGGTAAGTTTTTGCTAACATCACCTTCAATCTCTGTAAACTTTACTTGGTTGGTTTTGTCCACCTAATTCCTCACGTTTGCTTATTTTATTGGTCGCCAGGAAAGGAAAGAGGTCTTCATCTTCATGATAATTTTGATATTGATGAAGAGATCAGATTCTCTTCGGTGTACAGGGGAAGAGGGGTTGATGATAGTGGATATAAAGAAGATGAGGAGATGGTGTTGGATTCACACAATATTGAAACCTTTGGAGGTTCATCAGCTTCAGTTAGTAGCAGGCCTACAGATTTCACCAGTTTGAAATGAACTGAAAAGGGTTGTGCCATCAAGCTCTTCCTTAATGGTAGTTACTGACCTTTGAAATTGAAGATTTAATATTTCCTTAGCATGTGAAATGCATATGCTTCTTGTTATTGGTCATTAATAAGGTTGGAAACCCTTTATCAATCTGGCAATCGTCTATACATGATGTCCATTTATTTTTGTGGTAGATAATATGACTAATAGGGTTATTCTTACCATTACCATCTTATTCATCTTTTTTTATTTTTGTTATTTAACCTACCATTAAATGTTAATGTGAGGGGAAAAGATCTTATGTAGTTTTTCATGGAAGCATTGAATTTGGAGGCTTGCAGTTGTTATGGTTGACACATTCTGCCTGCATTTAGCCTTAACTGAAAGTAAGAAACAGTAGTCAGAAATATTGGTCTTTCTAGTGGTATGAGGGATTTTTCCTGAAGAGGTTATCTCATGCTACATTATGATTTCTATTTCGATTTAAATGGTTGTAACAGTAGAAAAAATTTTCTTGATAGGCTTTTCAGTTTACAGTTTGTACAAATGGTAACATAAAATATTTGGACATGTGTTTGTTCTTGTGATTTGTATCCTCAATGAGTTACTCATTTTTGGCAGCTTCACAGGATGAGGCACCCTCTTCACAATCTGAAAGTGTTGCAGATATAAACCTCTGGCTCTAATGATCTTGCTAGACAGCTGGCATCTGAAGTTCCTTTTACAAGTAGCTCTAACAGTGAAAGCAGGTATCTGTTTTTACCTTTTCCCCATGAATGTGCCTAAATGATATGTATTTTCTTATTATGCTTTAAATATTTTTCTCCAACAAATTGAATGATACTGCTTGTAGTTCATATGTAGCTAATATCAGAATGGTTTCCTTGAAAATATTATATTACTTCTATTCTTCTTTCCTACTTGGGAATACTTGAAGTTGTAGGATCCAGGACAATTTGCTTGATGATTGTGGAGGAGGTGGTGATCCTAAAGATTCTGTAGAAAAGCAATCAGTAAGTTAAACTCCTTGCATTATTTTACTTCTACTATAATCTGGAATTCACTTAGTTATTGCTTTTAGTCTATTTAATTCTAACATCCATGTTATTTTTTTGAATTCCTGTTTATATCAATGCAGTTAACTAAGGATCCTAACTTGACAATCCCTATGGGTGAGTTCACTTTTTTCTTTGAATGCAAACTAGTAGTTCCTACCTCCAATAGCCATTGAAAATGCAGTAGAGCCTGTTTTCTTGTAACTATTCATTAAGATAAAATGCAATACACGTGCTTATGAATGGTGACTGTGGAGCAATTTCTAATCCAAATTCTCAATCATTTTTGATTTACAAGACTAACAGCTGCAATAAAGGAGAGCTATCAGCAAACACAACTACTTCTGCTGTGTTGCATGCTTCATCAAAGGATGGTGAAAAACTGAGTCTGAATGAAGTCTCAAGAGACCCTGCATCTAGCAAAGTGCCAGGGGAAGTGTAGTTGGTAAATTCCTGTGGACAACAAGGTAGTTCTACGTCATCCAATTCAGATCATATCGGTGCTGCTGCTGCCTCAGCTTCTAGTTGTTCTGGCTTATCTCCAAGCTCATCGGTGGGTTCATTATCCTCTGAAAAGTCAACCCTAAATCCCCATGCAAAGGTATGATGATACTAATTTTTTTATGTTTGTCTTGCTTCAGCTGATTTCAGGATGAACGTGCACACTTAGTCATCAATGTTTTAACTTATTTTGTTGCTTTACTCATGACCTCCTAACATTTCTCCTGCATGTTAAATGGTTATCAGGAATTCAAACTCAATCCTAACACAAAGTGTTTCTCCCCATCACAAACAACTGTTAGGCCTCCATCACCAGTATCAGATGGTTCCTTCCATCATCCGCCCATTGTGTGCCCTCTTGCATGGCATGCATTTGGGTTTTGGGGTAAGTGTTTTTATACAAGTATACAACTAGATTGTCACAACACTTTTTTTTTCCCTCATATTTTTTATTGGATATATAATTCTGTCAAGTCTGTCAGCCATGCTTGTGGATTGGGCTTTTTATTTAATTTAAAAATATTTTCCTGATAATTTTAGAAGATCATCTTTTTTGAGGTACACTTTGGTGGTGACATTTTAGATCAATTGCTGCTGCTTTCTTGTGTGACAGTTTTCCATACTTTTGGTTTCTTGTATACATTTCTTCCTCTCGGATTAATATCACACGCACAGTAACACACCTTACTGCATTTGATACTGTTTATATACAAATAACTTTTCTTGTAATATACTAATCCTAACAAATTCTAACTAACTGTGAAGGCTGGATCTAGCCCCCTTTGTAATGTTTGGGAACTTTCAAGTCGCATTCATGCTGTCTTTTGCAAGTTTGGGACCTAGCTTTGTTGCTGTGATTCTATACTGGCTCCTGTTTGCCCCTCTAGACTACCCTACTGATGAAATAAGCACACCATGAAATATAGGATGCCCTTTTGCTCTTCCATTTAAATTTAATAATATAGTTAAATGGCTGTCTGAGGGGTTCAAATGTGGTTGATTAGACCCTTTTTAACTAAATTTTCTCTGTAAGGTTGATAAGACTTTGGGTGAAAAGGAGCAACACTGGGTCAATCCATGTTTGTCTCAGGACTCATTCAAACTGAACTTATTTTCTGTTCTAATAGAATAATCACTCCAGTCTGTTTATATCTAATAGAATGCAATTAAATATAGATCAGTTGTAGTACATAGTATGCATTATGGTTTTGGAGGTTTAAGCTTGACCCTGCAATATTTATATGTTGTTTGTGTATCGTGACAATAAAGACATTGGTGTATGTTCTTAAATATGAAATTTTGTTTTGTTCCAATAGAATTAGTTGCATTATCTGGAGTCCTGTTCTTGCATTTCTACTTGCTTAGGGCTACTGGTGACATATGGTATATGCAGATTGGACCATCATTTGCTGCACACCACCCTCTTATATTTAACCAGGCAGTAGCACCAATGCAGTCACCACAAGCATATTTTCATCCAAATGGACGTCAGGTAGAACCTGATTGCCGAATTTGCTATCATTATTTGGTTGTCTTGACTTGTATTAATTATCTGCGCTCTTCTAATTCCAGTATGGGCAGCAGCAAATGTTTCTTAGGCAGTCTAGGCAAGTTGTGTACATGCCAAGCTCCCAACCTGTAAGTATTTTGACATTGCATTGAATTTGTGAATAAGCTTGTTTGTTCATTTCCAACTTATGTTACTTGGTATTTCTAAATTTTTTATCTGTCACAATACTTGGAGAGAACTCCTATTTCTTCTCGTAGTAAATGACAATTTCTAAACAAGTCATTTCTGTAAATGTAAAATGTTCTTTTTCTCAAGTGTGGATTTTACTTCTCGGTTTTGGGGGAGACGGAAAAAAATGTTGTCTAGCGTTGTTGGAGAGTTACTTTTTGTTTTTACATATAGAAAATCGTGCATCTTAGGGTTCCCATGGACTTGAAACTGTTGTTGCAGGAAATGCCATACAAAGGACGGGATTTTTAGCCAGTTAGTTTGCTGACTTTATTCAGTTGTGATCCGTTCTGCTCATAAAGAATAAACATCTGAGAGTCTGCATGGATTAAAATTTTCTCGAAACAAAGCCAGGCAGCCCATTAAAGATCTTATGGTTACTCAACCCCGTATGTTCTGAGTGATTGTTTTACACATCCTCAGAGATAATTTCATTACCTTGTATGCTTCATTCATACCCATGACACCATGCCTTGAGATTTGTAGAATCTCTTAACTAACTTGTACTATCTGATTTGTTGTCTAATAATAACAGCGATTGGATCAATTTGGAGCGTGCTCCATAAATTGTTTCTGTCCTTGGGTGTCGCCTTCTTTGCATTTCTTGTATAGGATACCAGTAAGCGTGAAAATTACTTCAGGAGTCTATTATCTTCTCAATTTTTTTGATAATAAAGTCGCATTTTAGAATCCTACACGGGTCCAATAAAGGGATTTGTTGAAACAAGATCGGTAGCAGGAGTAAACAATTTAGCAAGGATTTTCCTTTTGGCAAAAATTTTAGTATCACTTCTTAGACGTTCTTCCATGGTGCTCGGTGTTGAAACAAGGCAGATGGTGAGTGCCGTGAGAGAAGCTCCAAATTCTTGGAATAAAAACCAGGGTAGTGACGGTAATAATTATAAAAACAACAATTACAGTAAAAGAAATTGATGCTTTCATTTGAACTGACAGATTCATTTCCATTTAGAATAACTATTTTGCTCGAAGTTAAAATATTACTTCAAGACCGTTTTACACTCTCAAACAAGGGGTTGTTCAATAATTTTTGGCTATCGGTTGTCCAACTTATTTGTAACTTTTCTTTTAACCATAATTTAAAAGGTTTTTCTTTTTTTCCAAATTTTGTCTTTATTAAAAATTATTTCTTTCTTAACAAGAACAAAAAATAAACATGAAATTTTTTTAATAATAGATAAGCATAAAACTTTAATAAATAATAATTATGTTTTTATGAACTTTGATAAATTTTTTAAACTATATCATATAAAAGTATATCAACTAAAATAAATATGAGGTGGTAACAAAATGTTCCTTTTATAGATATTTTCTGGGCTAATGGAATACCTGCAGTACTTCAATCTATTTATTTCCAATGATTAGGGCAACCTTTCATGTAGGTTTAGATTTTATTTGACAATATTTTATATAGATATTTTTGTATAATATATTATTAAAAAATATAAATTTATTTTTTAATTAATTTTAATTAACTTTTTATATAGTTTTATTAATATTTTTT